GGGGACCGATGGCCGCGCCGCCCCTGTCGCCGAGCGGGGGATGGGCCCCTGCCGTCCGGACAGCGCGGCCCCTGCTCGCCCCGCACCCTGCAGCAGAGGTTTTCGCCCTGCGGGGAGACAAGTGCGGCGTGCACACACAACGCCTCTTAAAGGCTCCGCGAGAAGCTTAGGATGCAACCAAGGACTTGGTCTCTCGCAACTTGGCGATGCCACGGAGCGCGCCGCTCGCGCTCCACCGGGGATGCCCGGCGCACTGTAGTGCCTCCAGTGCCAAAGACGGAGAAAGTTCCCCCAGCTTCTTTGCTGGGGGGTACGCGGCGGAGATGGCAAGGTGTCGTGGTCAGAGCTGGCTGTCTATCTCCAAACGAAAGATTTGGCTGGATCCTAAATGAGTAAAAACTCTTCGTTTCGTGAACTCCCATTATTGCTCGGCTTGGTAGCTCATTTTTGTTTGTTTGTTTGTGTTTGATAGGAAAAGAGGTCGTTCAATATCTGTCTTTTCCTTGTAGGGTTAACATTTCATAGGTTTGTGGCCTGACATTTTAATTGCTCAAATAAAGCATCTTGGATGCTGAAAACCACAAGTAGACTTCATGTCATTGCCATGACGCAATTAAAATAAATTCTCCTCAACTTTATTCTCTCTCCTTGGTTTTAGCTAACTGGCCAGCCAGTGACCTGCCACACACCCAGGAAGAGGGGGAGAAAGACCTTTCTGCCCGCTGATGGACAGGCGCAGGCAGCCGCTCAGTCTCGCCTGTGCACACCCTCTGTACACACATGTAAACGCACATGTATCAGATGCACATTTATCAATGTACACAGACAAAGACGACCGAGACTGTGTTTCTAGGTTATAGACACAGTTGAGTACGGACTTCATTGTTCACGTTGCCTTTAAGCATTCGCACAGCCATTAAAACACCCAGAGAGCTTGCTCCAAATTGAAAATAATACCAGCACAACTCACAAGAACCACAAACAAGCCATAGTCTACCTCAAGATAATCACTGCAGAAGGAACTACTCGACAGCCTAAGTCAGTCTGCTTGGTGTGCTCACATCACTTGATACAGCTATGTGTGAGTGCCAGGATGTCTAGGTTTTAAACGTCAAGCGTAGAATCATCCTTAAGACACATTATATTTCATTGCAATAAACTTGTTTGATTAGGACCAGTTAGCTGACAGTGATGTCTACACATTTATAGGAAAAAATTGTGTTTCATCAGGGACACTGAACCAAGAAAAAAACAAAACTGTAATTCCATAAGCCAACTAGGTTTACCAACAATTGAATTATTTTATACAAAAGATGCTGAACTCCAAGGGGGGTAAAAAGAGGGTACTATAAAGAGCAAACTGAGGACTTCAGAGAAGCATCCTAGGCAGCACAAAAAATTTGGTGATATAAAGTTACTTTAATAAAATAAACGGCACATGTAACTGACATGCACAGACTGTACTTTTCGCACAGTTCTTTTACACATACAGGCAGGCTGTGAGCTAAGCAACACAGGAAGATGTGGGCAGGGAGATGCTGGTTTGGGGGTAAGGAGAAAAAATCCAATATAAACTTCACCCTGAAGCCTTCCTCAGCCTTCTCCTTCTCTGATGAGATCAAGTATTGCACCAAAGCTGCAGGTGCTATGATTATTTGAGTGCTTTAAGAAATAACAAGCCATGGCCATTATTGGACTATCATAAACCTGATGTGTAATTAGGTGGCCACAAAGTGAAGCTAGGCTAAAAATTTCTGGCTGGTTAGAGACACCATACAACTTTCTCCTAAAAAGAACAAGAAAGATGGAAAAGAAATCATTTCAGAGAAGGTTTGGGTTTTTTTTTTTTCCTTTCAATTTCTCTGATTCAAGGAATTACTTGATGCTGCAAATGTGAGATTAGGGGCAAGCTCAGTGTACAGTGGACTGAGGTTGACATAAGAAATCTAATGAGCATTTCCAACTTGACTTAATAGAAGATAGGCATAATTGATTATAAAGAAATTTTCATCTTGCCTTTTTCATGTGCAGTCACTTCCATAGTAAGATTACCTTTTACACACATATGACATATATATATAT